GGTAAAAAATATTTATAGAAAAGTTGACTCTTGGCATTTGTGACACGCAAAATTGTCTTTAAAAGTTAATGTTTTTGCTTAAAGCAATATTAATTTCTACAACTATGATACTTATTACAAAAGTAAGTAGGTACATAATTAAAATCAAAGATAAGTATATATTTTTGTATACCAGACTGTTTTTACGTTAGAATGTTTAAAATTAACAAATATTGTAAGGTATTTTGGTGACATTTTTGAATTCATTTTGTAATTTTGTGGGTAAGCTGCCTGTAATGGCTACATAATGCCTTTGAGACATCTAAAACCTTAGTCTCTCCCGTTACCAAGATTGCTATAAAGCATCCGAAACGTCAGGAACACAAAATCAAAATAAATCCTCGAAAAATCCGAAAAGATAATTTCATTTAAAACGCTTTTTCTGTTAAGATAACTTTAATCGGTAATTTTAATCCAAATATTATATAGCTTTTCTATAGATAAAAATACTAAGATCATTCTTAAACATACGGACATTTTAAATAAAAAGTGACCTGTGACCATGACATCTGCAAAGCAAACGTCAAAAAGCGAAATGTCAAAAAATCCGATAAGATTAAATAGTTTTATTAAAAGAACTAAGAGATATGTTATGTAAAAAAAATTTTCAAGATCAAACATCGAACGCACTACTTTTCAATTAAATACGTTCTTTCATTTTATTGCTACTGACCTCTGTAAATGTAGGCTGTATAGTGTATAGCTAGAAGCTATGAGTATCGTGCCTCGTTGACTTTCAATCGGCAACCTCTAGGCATGCAATTTGCAAATTGGAATATTTTTTACCCTTTATCGTTTTTGGAAGTCTCACTTGAAGTAAAGAAACTGTATGCCTTAGATTTTGTGACTTATAATGATACTTTTATTTGTTTTTACTGAGTTTAAAAATGACGAGGTTTTTAATTAGGTGGGTTTTGTGTGTACAATGTACATATCTCCAAGCATAGACTTAGCGATTTTTTTAAAGGTTTTAAGTACTCAGTAAATAATATATTAACTTGAAACTAGTAGACCTCCTTTACGCTGTTCCATTGCATCATGTAATATCGCTTAAAAACGTTAAAATAATCAGACAAGTGCGAGTATGACTCGCACACTGAGGGTTTTTTAGAATGTATTGCTTTAGTATACTATTTTTTTATATTAAAAGTAAAATATGTAGGTACCAATCTATGATATTTATTTTATTGGCGACATAAATATGTTTGTATTTCATTTGTATCCCCTTCAGTTATATTTATAGAGTGCCTATGCCTACAAAATCTTCTAGTGGTTTATATGAGACACTCTATGTACATACAAAATAATAGCAATGTAATTCTTAAAGTCTTCGAAATCTTATAGACGGACTTGTCGAAATTATAAGGGTTCATTTGGCTATGGAACCCTAAAAATAAGATTTTTTTACTTTCTAGGTGATATAAATCTAAAAACATTATTTGACTGTAAAGCGAATGAAACGGATTTGAAGCTGATATATTTTTTATAGGTTAATGTATCCAAACGAGCAAGTTACTGACCTACCACTGCCTGTTAATGAGAGCTTTAGTCAATCTAATCTTCAATAGATGCGTTGCTCAAAAATGTTGAATTGTATTTTAAATTAAAACAATAAAAAATAAAACAATTTTTAGAAATATCCACGGAATGTCATTTTTATCCTTTTTTAAAATGACTGTGACCATTATTTAACGTTCTTTTATGTCTTGACAGATAAGACATCCGGGATTAGCTTGCTACGTGTGGACCCAACTTAAGCTCCCATCTATCAACGTCACAAAATGGCCTTTGCCACAACAAAACAAATCTTTTAATGTCTTAAATAATTTAAAAATCTTCTTCGTGTCTTCTCCATTCTCCGTGACATTGGCGAAGTAATTTGTACTCAACTGGCACGCTTTAAAGCCATTTACAAGAAAATTGAATTGATTTAAAAACATTCCACACTCTCAATTATGTCACAATATAATTTTTTATTACTCTTTAATCTATTTTGGTTAGAATGTGATTGTGGTATTTGTTGTCATTTTTAATTTTATTTAAAAAAGCTTTCACGTTCAAAAACAACACGTTGGAGGACAGTATTTTTAAAATCTATTTGAAAATTGGATATTTCGTCCTGAGTTATTACAATTTAATCTTTGTAGATAACAAAAAAATTGTACGTAGATATGAAAGAAAGAAAAGAAGGTTAAAGATTTAGATTTAATTAAAATCTATTAATTAGATAATGAGATATACCTTTCCCGTTCTACTAGATTTTCATATATCATACGAATTTTTTGTACTAACCACGGACAGTAGTATACTATAGTATATATGTAATTTTTTTTTTGGATCTTGATTCTCTCTTAATATTATAAACAATCAAAGCCTTTGTCTCTCACTCGAATGGAACACTGAGCGGGGTTAATTATTTAAGCTGATGCAATATCTATTTGCCTTACCAAACAGTAGTTTAGGCGTTAAAGACAACAAACATACAAACAGAGAGATGCACTTATAATTTTTACGAACTGTGAATGTTTGGATACTTAAATATAAAACTGAAAATTCTATGATTTAAATATCGTCCAAGAAAAATTCAACCCAAAATATCACGACATATGACAGCCGTAATAATAATAATAGAAGCAATATTTTATTTCTAAAGCAACGAAGGAACAATAACACGTTTTTTCCATTAGCTGTACAGTTAATATATAAGAATCGTATGGTATAGTGGCAGTATATTCAGTGTAAAAGGTTGGTCGCAGTTTCAATCCTCCTGTATAGTAATATAATATTTTAACGAGAATAATGTAAGGAGTAAAGTTTTATGTTTGTAGGGTGTTTGAGAAGTACCTAATACAAGCCAATTTTAACATATTTAACTGATATCATAAAGGTATTAAATTTTTGGGTAAATACAATTTCAAAAAAAAAAGTTATTTTAAATAAAACTACATTTTTGGATTTTTTCACGGATTTATTTTGAGTTTTGGTTTCTCCAACCCAATGAACCAGGTTGGATCTAACCGCGAAAAAATCCGAAAAGCTAGTTTTAATTAAAATGTCAAATATTCGCGTAGATCTAAGAAAGTTTTAAATGCTCAGCGTTTAAGATATGATTATTTGTTTCTAGGTTAACGTAGGAGTAAAAAAATTACATGATCTTATTATTAACAAAGATGAGTTTGAATCCATATTAATATTATAAATGCGAAAGTAACTCTGTCTGTCTATTATCTTTTCAAGCTTAATCTGCTTAACCGATTTAGATGAAATTTGGTATGGACATAATTTAAGACCCTGAGAAGAACCTAGGATGGTTTTTATCCTGGAAATCATTCCTTAAGGAGATAAATATTGGTTCCCGGCGTTTCGAATGCTCCCGTGACCATGATTGCTGTAAAACATTCGAAACGGAACAAAAAAATCATAATATCGCAAAAATCCGAAAAGATACTTTTATTTAAAAACTCTGAGCATTTATCAATCCTGCATGCACCTAACTATGGCAGTGTCAAAAAAATTATGCTAAAATGTAGCATAAAATAAATTCTGCCCCGGACGTATTTAGAATTGCGTCAATCTGTCGGGCAAATTTATTGCCCGTCCCTGATGTCACAGTGACACGGGTACTTGTTCACGTACAGTAGCTGGCCACTGCTCAGTGAATTTTGCGTAACTTCCGCTATATCGCTATAGCGATTTTCAGGCCGGGTAAACTTTTTTATTATAAACCAGAAAATCGAATACATATTTCCTATTTTCAACGATTGGAAATCTGTGCGAATATTGTTGTCAGATTGGATGTTTTGAAGTCAAAATTGAAAGTTTTTGGGATGGTACATCAATTTTTGGAAAGAAATTTCTTGGAAAAATTTAATATTTTGCATTGAGCTATACTCTTATTCTTATATGTATATACGTTATTCACCTTTTAAATGTTAAAATCACTATTTATTATGTTCGCTTAACAATTTCTACGACAAAATCCAAAACGAAGTAAGATGCTGCTAAAATCACCAGTCCTTAATTTAGACTATCATCTTAATTAATTCCTTCCTTCATCTTGGCCTAAAACAACATAATGCAAATATATTTTAACTACGCTATATCTTTTGCGGGGTAATAAAAATATTTTAGTGACTAACTACATAATTTAATATATTTTTTTTACAAAAAAAATTTAATTATATAACATAACCCTAGGAGATATTTTAGACTGAAAACCTTTTTGTACTGAAACAAAATGTGAATTTAATTAATAAAATATAGTAAAATCGATTCAGAAGTTTCAGACTTTATCGATTACAAAATAACTACTAAAACTAGCTACTCATTCTCGCTTCCCTCGGGTTCGTCCCTATGTATTTTATAATAATATATAATATAGTTTTACAATAATGTATGGAAGTTTGCCCGATTTGTTGACATTTATGATTACTGCTCCGCTCTCTTGGGTAGTAGCATGATGATATATAGCCTTCCTTATTATTTCCTTATCATTACCTATACAATTTTTCAAATCGGATTAGTAGTTCCTGAGATTAGCGAGTTTGAACAAACTCTGCCTCTTTATAATAATAGTATAGATTATCAAGATTATCAGTATGATAGATTATAATAGATATCACTAATTCTAAATCTCGTTTTAACAAATCAATAAAATTATTTGGTCCACGTTGATTAAACAATTGATAATTGAAATTACGATTGGTAGATAAATCTAGAAGAAAATACTAAAAATTCTTAAAAAACTAAATGAAAGTTAAAAATTAAAAAAAAACAATTTTAAATAAAACTATCTTTTCGGATTTTTTCGCGGATTTACTTGGATTTTTGGTTCCCGACGTTTCGAATGCTTTACAGCATTCATGGTCTCTCCCGTGACTGTCAAATATTCGCGTAAATCTAAGAAAGTATTATAAAAAACAATGTTTTAAAAATATCAAAATACAACAAAGTGAACTTACCTAGTCTTAAAGTTTTAATAAAGAACACTTGATATATGGTGGCACTCGTTGTTTTTCTATACCGTAACCTGCAATAAGAAAAATAAACTTTTAAATACAAAATAGCTATTGAATTTTAAATGGATAAGTTAGTAAAAACAAAGGAAAAACTTTTTGATGCTTCACACAGCTCTCTTTGCCTTCTCTGTTAAGGATACAGTAAGCATTAGAGATTAGATTCGCATATAAAATTCAGAGTCCAAAATAAAATAATATATGAACCAAGACTTGTACTTTGTACCAATTTAACTATGTTTTTTATTCAGAAATTTATCGAGCTATACTTAAGTGCAAAAACATACAGGCAGAAAGATGAAAAGTCAAAAAACTATATTTAATGTATGAAGATAAAGGATATGCTTGTTTGTTTGAATGCAATGACTTCTGGAACTATCTAATTTAGTTGTTTTTCCTTTACAAGGCAACACCATGGTGTTGCCTTATAAAGTAAAAAAAACCATGGTTCTGACATCTTCAGTGAGACGACATTAATTCCCCATTTTTTTAATTTATTCCCTAAAATAGTTAAATAAGTTAAATAATTTGTTTGGATAGTCATTTTCTGAGTAAAAAATTCGAAAATTGTTGTTCAGAGCTTCTCTTTATATTGTGGATGGGAAACCTATCTTTTTCAACGCTGCAAAATAATATTAATAGAACACCATAAATATTTTTTACAAAACAAAGATAGTATTTTTAAATTTTTTTTAATTTTTAATTTTAATTTTAAGAAAAATAGTGTTAATATAGAATTGTGTTAACATTTATCTAAGTAGAAATATATAAGGTGTAAATGGACAAATTTGCGGCGGTCAAGTCAGAACGATGATTCATTTATCAACCATTTAAACACTCCAGCGTGAGCTATTAGAGCCATGTTACCAAAATTACTGGAAACTTGAAATATGTTTGACACGTTTAGTTCAGTTTGTAGTGACCCTACTTGCTGTGCCAGCGGTCGCGGGTTCGAGTCCCGCTGGGGGCATTCATTTGTGTGATAAGCACGAATGTTTGTACACGAGTCCAGAATGTTTGTACATCATGTTTTTAATAACGAAATTTTTAATATGTTATTTAATGTAACTTTTGTTCCTAATTCTAATAAATAAATAAATAAATAATATGTATGTATAAAAGTTATATATGTGTAGTGTATCAACTATCTGGTATCCATAACACAAGCCTCGTAGCTTACAATGGAACTAGATGGCGCTGTGTGTTAATGTCCCAACATCTATTATTTATTATTATTATTTTATTATGTAATATAATATTTACTACATACACCACGTATTTTTATCAAATTTAATTATTATAACGCTCTTAGCACTCTACTTATAAAAACAAGCCATTATGATAAGCTTGTAACCAAACATTCAATATCTCTCTACTGTCGTCGCTTTAGATTCAAAAGTGATGCATCCGCACGTTTTAGCTAACATGCAGCATAAGACGATACAGTTTCTATAGTAAAACATCATAATAGTGTAAAAGGAAATAGCTATTGCAACCGTTTTATCGCGGCTCCGCACAGTTCGATTATAACTTTTAAAATAAAAATGTTATAATGAAAAAAATCTATATAGATAAATAAAATTGAAGTGTCTGTTTGTAATGTCAAAATAACAACTTTTTACTAAAAACATATGGAATTATATATAGCATTTATAGGAAAAACACAATTTTAAATTTTTTTGTCTGTCTGTCTGTTTGTTCCGGCTGATCTCGTAAACAGTTGGGTCGATTTTGACGGGACTTTCACTGACAGGTAGTTGATGTTATAAGCAGTAACTTAGGCTACTTTTATTTCAGTAAGAGAATTAGGGCTCCGCTCAGAAAAATTAAAATGTACCTAGAGACGAACCCGAGCGAAACGAGGGTTAGTCGCTAGTATTATAATCCATATATGAATTAATAATAAAATAATGTATTCTTGACCGATTTCGGTAACGGTGGTCAATTTTATTAAGACCAATATGGAATACATAATCTATCTATACATCTAATACTCGTATATAAAAATGAATCGCTAAATGTGTTGGTAAGCGCCAATCTCCAGAGCAGCTGAACCGATTTCGCTAATTCTTTTTTTAGGATATTCCTTGAAGTACGAGGATGGTTCTTACGGAGACAAAAATTAAAAAAAATGCCTAAAAAGGCTAAAAACACTTTTCTTTACTCCCATACAATAGATTCGTAATAATACTTAAAAGTCAATTTGAACTTAGTTTAAGTATTAGTGGAGAAGTTCCGGGAGGGCAAAACAATTGAGTGACGTTAGTATCGTATAAATATTAATGTCAATATTATTAACAAAAAAAATTAAATTTATATGGCTAACGCTGGCCAATAACTATTTATATCTATTTAAAACGTACCTAGCGACAAACCCGAGAGAGGCGAGGGTAAGCCGCTAGTATTATAATAAAATTTTGAGTCGAATATGTACATTAAATATTTTTTGGAAAATCTTATTGAAATAATCATTATTATCGAAACAGAGGCCGAATCTATAATTTTTAGAATTTTGTCTATCTGTCTGTCTGATAACGCATCAAGAGAAAACAATTGGGCAGATTTAGATGAAATTTGGTATGATGATAGCTGGTTATCCGGGTCAACATGTAGAATACTTTTTATTGCGGCAAAATATCTCATCTCTGAGAAATCTATACTAACTGTTAAAACGTGCCTATGTACATATAATATGACAGCGCACAAATATGTGCACTATAACGTATATCCTGCATTTACAAGTGGAAGGAAGTTCCCTTCATACTCAAATTCCGACAGGACGACAATCCGATACGGCCGATGATCAGGCGCAGGACAACAGCTAGATTTTCTATCTGAGGCACGTTTTGAATATTATTGCATGAACTTGTATAAATAATGTGACAGTGGTAGCCCAGTGGTAACACGCTTGTTTGGGAAACCAAGTGAAGCGGGTTCAAATCCCGATCCTCACGCCTCTGATATTTTCATATGGAAATGATTTCCAACATGATTACTACTTGTCTTACGTTGAAGGAAAGCATCGTGAGGGAACCTGCATGTCTGAGAGAACCTAAGATGTTTCGAATGACGTGAAGTCCGCCAAACCGCATTTCGGCAGTGTGGTCCACCACTATATGTAATAATGTAATAATTTCCTCTCATATTTACGAAAGGCCCGTGCCCAGCATTGAGACGTTAAAAAAGGGTCATAATGTATATAAATAATATGGCAAATCTCCAAAAAAAATTTTTTTTTTCATACACATGCAGTACTTTTCGTAATTGAATTAATTGACATTAATGCTTAGTGAAACATTTTTTTATACTCTCACACTAACTTTACGACTTAATAATTGAGGAAGGCAGCAGTTTGTAATCAAGTTGGGAGGTTATCTCCAGAGCGGGTTCTATATTGCGGTCGGGCCTACATGACACGCTTTAACATATAACTAAAACTCTGTTTGTAGTAGTATCACTTATTAAAATATCCTCACTAGTTACTGCCTTCGGTTTCATTCGCAAGATATGTCGATAAAATGTGTAAATTTAAAATTTTGTAAAATATCTAAACTACAAATTTTCTAATTTCATACAAAGTTACAGCGAAGGTACTTGTATTACATGAATAGTGAGTGAAAGAGAGAAAGAGAGAGAGAGAGAGAGAACTCTCTGACTCATACACTCTCTCATTCATTTACTTTCTCTCTCACTCGCTAAAGTTTTCGTTGGGAATATTCAATTCATCCGTACTAATATTATAAATGTGAAAGTTTGTTTTTTTTATTTGTCCTTCTTTCATGTTTTACACACGTTTTAAATAAAAATATATTTTAAGATTTTTTCGCGGATTTATTTGGATTTTTTATTGTTTGATAGTTATGTATTGTTAGTTATGGTTGCTCAATTGATTATTTTTAATTATAGTATTTCAATTCATTATTATTATTCATAATTTATATAATTGATTCTTCATATTTTGTTTGTTATAATTTTATATTTTATAATATTAATTTGATGTTGATTATTTATATTTTATTATTTACAATTTTATAATATTAATATAGATATGAGTTTGTTATATTTTAAATACTAACCAGCATTGCCCGCGGCTCCGCCCGCGTTCAGACGACCAAAAACCAAATACTTAGGTTTTACATATTAGTATACTCTTACAATGCCACCAGGCTAATCGACCAGGATAACCAGCTATAATCATACCAAATTTCATCAAAATCCCTCCAGTGGTTTTTCCGTGATGCGGTAACAGACACACAGACAGGCAGACAACAATTCTAGAAACTATAGAATCCGCCTCTGTATCGACAATAATGTTTATTTCAATAAGATTTTCTAAAAAATATTTAATGTTTACTAGTATTTCATTACTTTAGGATTTAATAAATTCTCATTTGCAATTTCATTACAAATAATTTAACTGTAACAAACCAACAGTCAAATTTTATATTTATAATTCTAGTTTGGTTACAGAAACTAAGAAAACTATGGAGTAGTCAAAATAAAATATATTTTAAAAAAAATTGTACATCGACTTCAAAACGTTTCTTTTTTTTTGTTTAGTAGCTATTGAGGAACTTTAGTGTTATCAACAATATATATATATATATATATATATATATATATATATATATATAACATTATTTTATTATGATATGATATGATGATAGTGCTTTTCAACCACTGGACACACTACGATCATAATAATCACAGATAATTTCTCGAAATTCGTATCTCCCTTTTAAAATCGAATAAACTATACTTCATATTTTCAAAAAGTCTTATTTGAAAAAAGACAGAAAAAAATCAGAAAATTTGAAATCCCAAAACTTGACTGTTTTGCATATTTCGGTGTGTAATTAGCAGCGTATTTGTACCGCGCCGCAACAAGTATGTGTACATGAGAGATCATTATGGAGTACAGGTTAAGTTGTAATTTTAAAACAACATTGAATTATGTTATTTAAATATTACCTTTATTATTTATGTAAATGTATATTTTATGGGTGTTTTATTT